CTCACAGCTCATCCCCAGCTTAAATAGCCTCAGAGGTGATTGCTGACTGGATTCAGGTGGCAAACGAGGCTAACCAAGAGCAGCTGTGTCCTGGGGAGAGAGGAGATTGAGAGAAACAGAGGGGGTAGAGTGGCAAGAGAGGAGGAGGCGGAGAAAAACACCACGCCCACACAAGGGCAGTTTCAGGAGGCCCAGCTAGGGCTGTAACACCTGGCCAGCTCCTCCAGCTTTTTAAGGAAGTAAACTGAGGTATAATCTCTCCAGTGTGTCCTTTAACTGCTCAGACGGTCTGCAGAGGAAGCTCACTTCCTTCATTTGTGACCTCACTCTTTCAGTAAGTGGCCAAAGGTGATGGTGGGAAACTAAATGAACCAGTAAATCGACAGCTTGGACACACAGCTCTCTGTGCTTTAGATTTTTCCTGATTAAGTCCCAAAACACACGAACAACTATTTACATAAAAATAATTACAGAAGAATAAAGTACCAATAAAATGATTTAATCAGTCAGATAGATTGACCCTGTTTTACTTGTGTTTTATTTAAATTCTTGATGCCTTATTGAGTCTAGTTTTAACACGTTTTTATCCTTAGTCCACCTTCTATCATCACTTTTACTGATGCTTGTATTTGCATTTATTACAACAGGTCATTTCTGTTTAGCCACCATGTGTCTGTTTCTCTTGTCTTTGGCTCTAAGATCAGCGTTCATGCTGAACTGAGCACTCTACCTTTGATGTCTGTTAAAGCAAATCCTGTCGTTGAAGAGATGCATAAATAAAAATTTGTGTTTGTAATTATTTCAAAATAAAAATATCTAATGGGCTCTCAAATTTTAATACATTTGAAATCACTAAATGTTTAATTTAAAACACTTTTAGAAACGGTCCTCTGTCCTTTTTTTCTCCCAGACTTTTGATTCTGATGGGAAGTTGATTGAAGAGCCGACCATGCAGGCGCTGGAGGTGTTCTGCTCCTGCTGGTTCACCTTCGAGGTGAGGTGATTAAAACTAAGCATGCTGTGAACTGTTTTACTGTGCACTAAAAACTCACTGGGTCTAATATTTAAGGTTGTGTATAAGGGCATTTCCCATGCATGTCTTAAACTTAAACTTAACTGTGTATCAGTTAAGCAAACAATAAAGATAATGTGCTTTAAAATGATCATAAATATGTATATGGCAGTTTTAAGCTCACGCTGGAGACTTATCAAAGGGAAGATGAAACACAGCACAGAGTTTAATGTCTTTGCAGGGATGAAGGAAAAGGCACTTTAAATACTCCTGAAAGATAGCAACGTGCTACACAGTGAAGGCAGGAAACACAGAACAGAGAGGATCACGCCGAAAATATATGGTGCAGGAAGTGAAAAAAAAAAACAGAGAAACAGGTCGTGAAGGAAGACACAGGGACAACTTCACAAAGACTGACAGAGTAAATACAGCAGAGAGAGAAAGGATTAAACTTATGGAAGCCAAGTGAGGAAATACCCTTCAAAATAAAACAGGAAGAACGTCAGTTTGAGCCCACGTTTCTTTACTGTGTATCTTTCCCCGCTCTCTCTCCCCTCTTTACTGCTGTCCTGTCAAATAAAATACCTGTCAAATAAATCTTTAAAATAAAGAAGGAAGTAAAATGAAAGGAAGACAAAGAACATCACACAAAGACGCGGGGAACTCACGAGACACAGAGAAAACCCCTCAAAGAATGCAAAGTCAGACCATGATGAGCTGTTACATACTTCATTCAATTTGTTTGACTTGCATCAGTTTAATTATTTACTTTGTTTAAACCAAACACAAATTCCAGGCACAGTTAAAATACCTAAACTTAAATATTAGGCCCAAATATGTCAGTGCTGACAGAGACGCTGAACACAGAGGACAGTGACAAACGCTGAGTGTTTGTGATCTCTTTGAGGTCGTCACGCGGCTGCTGCTCGCACCAAACAGGAAGAAGTTCTTCCA